GCAGAAAAGGGCGCGAAAATGGAGTCCTGGCTTCCGCTGTTCGACATTTTCATGAACAACCCTACACCGGAAACCGAAGCGTCTCTCTGGCTACAACGATCGAACAACGCCACACCGTCACCATCGTCAACGACGACGACGGCGGCGGCGGCGGCTGCGCCGGTCACCACAAGCGCTTTCCTCTCTCTGCTTACACAACCCCGCAATGCCATTGTCAAAGACCCATCCCTTTCTTCTCCTCCTACAACAACAAGGTGATCACTGAAATTTGTTTGGGTTGTTCTCATTTTTCTCAAAGAATTTGGGTTTCAGTGACTGATGGGTGGTTTTGTTTTTCTAAGGGTCATGTTTATGCAGACTCTACCGGATTTTGTTCAATCCCGAATTCTGTCCTTTCTTGCTTGTGAGCATAAGATGTTTTCTAAGCGGGAATTATCCAAACTGGCACGAAATATATTGAGTGGAAGCGCAAATCAAGAGGTTGATTTTTGGGTCAAGAGAGCCGCACAGAACCTGTTTGATGCAGTGTCTGAGTCAAGCTATGAGTGGACTTCTGGGTTGGATTTGGGATTTGGGGAAGAAAGAGTAGGTGAGGAGTTTGATGCATTGCCGGATTGGCTAAAGGAGGCCACCAGGGCTAGTGATCCGCTTCTTTCTTGGCTCCCTTTGTCACAGGTTGAATTGAACTCGAGAATGTCTGCTGATGCTCTTGAAAATAATGATGATTTGTTGAGTCAAGCAGAAGAAAATTCAGAAGATGATTTGAAGGCAGTGACAATGGAGATTGAGATCAACCATCCAAGTAATGTTCCACATGTATTGGAAATTCAACAAATGGCAACTAGTTTAAAAGCTAGGATAATGAATATTGAGTCTACTTCAGAAATTATAGCTGTAAGTAATGAAATTCGGGAACTTTGTGTGAATAAAGGTGTGGATTCTCTTCAAGTTTTGAGTCTAATTGAGCCTTGGAAAGTAGATGATGAGACTGCTTCACTGCTAATTTGCCATCTTTCAAGTGGGAATGAAGAAGAGTTTGGATGGCCAAGCCAGGTTCTCTGCGCAATTGTGCTTCCCAAGTTCTTAATTCTAGAGGAGCCAGCTTCCCGAGTGCTGGTGACTGTGACTATAGAATACTGCAAGCTCCATCAGAGGGCTGCTGTGTATGGACTATTGTTTCCACTTTTATTCAGAAAGGATGGTATCAATAACTGCATCTGTGATGTGATTACAAGGATTGTCAGGGAATGTTTGCACCCGGCTCATGTTTCTGCCTTCTGCCAGAAGCTGCTTTGTGGAGATGAAGAGGAGAAGAGATTTATCTTGCTTCCTTGCCACCAGTGTCTTATCTCTGTTGACTTGGTATGGACAGAATCATTGTTCGTCCTCTTTCAGAACATTTTAAATCATAATGTTCAGTTAACTCGAGATTCAGTTGATCATCTTGTTTATCGCATTAGGCAATTGGCTGAAAGGTTCTGCAAATCTCTAAAATTTGGCAACTTCTTGCTATGTTTGGTCAATAAATGTGCTCCACTGTTGAAGTCTCATAAGTCTTCATTGATTGAAGCTGTTGACTGTACCAATACTATTGTTACAAAATCTATGTTGTCAAAATTAGCTAGTCTTTAGCTGTTGTATTTCTATATCTTTGAATGAATTAGGTACCATGAAATTTTGGCTTTGCTCTTAGGATTTGGTATAGACTTATGCTATATTGAAACCCTTGACATTCGTTCACTGTGGGTAAAAGCTAGTGGTTACTCTTGGTTGCTTGTGCATGCAAATTACAATTATGTTGAGACTAGTAACTACCTAACAATATCAAAGTCAATTATTCTATGGTGCAAGTGATACGAGGCATGGCTATACAATTTTCAAGAATGCTTGAACTAAGAGAACCAATAGATTCAAGGGAAGACAGTATTATTCTATATATTTTTGGAGTTATAGAAACATCATCTCATATTCTTGCTTGCTGGAAAAATAATATTGCATAGGTTTAATCTAGAAAACATCACAACATAGTTGACAAACAAACTTTATGTGAACAATATGTGTAACCAAATAATAGGTTACCCTTAGACAAGGTGTCCATTAGCCATTGTTTTCATGGCCTCAAATCTTGGGTCCTTTGGCGAAAACTTTGTGGTGGAATAAAGCTTCAGGTAATCTTGGAATCGATATTGAGTTGGATATAAGAGTCTGGGAGCCGGAGAAATGAGGGCATCACCAGCTGGATTATAAAAGGTCGCGATAGAGAGTCTGCTTCCAATCTTGTCTGTCATGACACGGTGCAGAATACTTTTATACCTGCCATTACTAAGTACCTCCACTTGATCACCTGTGTTTATAAAAATGGTGTTGTTCTTTGATGGTGGAATCTGGACCCATTCTCCATCTTTTAGGAATTCAAGACCAGGGACCTGGTCATCTTGGAGCAAGAGTATGATTCCACCAGCATCAGTGTGTTCCCGAAGTCCTCTTACAAGCTCTGGATGAGGACACTCAGGGTATTTAGCTACTTTTGTTCCCACAGAAGGACCTTTATTCCCTGAGAATGCTTCCTTTAGGTAAGTTTTCTCTAAACCAAGATTCTCAGACATGAGCTCAGAAAGCTTTTCTGCAAGTTTAATCAGTTCAGCAATGTATTCGTCCATTGTCTTTCTGCAAGTAACCATTTTGACAATGTCATTTTTCATGTTACGTTGTACTGAACAACAGCTTATAATTTCAGCATTCTATTGACTCACCGAAGATCTTCTGAGAGGTTTGGAATTTCATTGATGTTAGATGTTGGGCGGTGCCAGATGAAAAAGGTAGTTTCCCAGTCTACATCTGAGGTACTTTCTTTATGCTTCAAGCTCTTAGCTACCTCAGATTCATAGAAGCTTTGCTTCAAATTTTCATCGTAGTGTAAATTCACTAACTGCTTCACCTTCTCCATCAACTTCTTGTCAATTCCATGGTTCTCAACCTGCAGATATTAGAAAGTTTTGTTACTAGAATAATGCATAGATCAAAAACAGAGCTCTATGGAGAAAGTGTTGCCTTACAAACCTGAAAGAAGCCCCATTTCTCACAAGCCTGGTGCAGAAGTGCCATTGTCTTACTCCTTTTCTCACCATGGAGTTCATCAAAATCTATTATAGGAATCTCCATCTCCTTCCTTCTTAAACTTGAATGTAGAAGATAGGCAACATGGCGGGCTATTTATAGACTTGAGAGGTAAGAAATGGGCGTGAATCTCTTCCATCTCAACTATTTCTCCACTAGGATATCGACAAGGCAGTCAGATTTGAAGCAACAGTAGTTGTAAGTTAACTAAAACATCCATTTCAAGTAAAAATTCTTGGGTTGTCATAAAAAGAGAGGTTGTGATTAAACTTAGTCCAAATTCGGTTCACCACCTCCATGTGATTCTATGCAGTTTTTCTCCATCTCTCATGAACTGGTCAATCATGCTCTCTTGTAAACCAAGCATGGTTCCTTTTCCTGATTGGATTACTTCCTCCTAGGATGCTTCCTTCTGTGGGATTGGTTGTTTCTTTCCTAGATAAAACTAGGGGTGGACTGAATGATTTGGTCTCAAACAATCAATGAAAAACAAGGGACAGGGATATAAGAAATATATTAACCATGGGCGGTTTTTGGCCCCATGTTTTTGTATTAGCATCTTACATGATTGTGTCTTTGTCATTTCTGGTGATGGGTAATGCTATACTTTCAATTTCCTGAACTTTCACCTAATGAAACATTTTACATCATGTTGTTTATTAATTTGCTTATTGTTTGCTTAGTCACGAATCTTGCTTTGGTTAATTTTCTTGATGATGAAATTATGGTTTAAGTTACCATCCTTTTAAGTATTATTCATCCTGGTCTAGTCATTATGATATGAATATTGTTTGAGACCTTGCATGGTGATGTTGATATGAAAGAAACTGACTAAAAGGGTGTTCGGACTTGGGAATTTCCCTTCTCTGGTTTTGACTGGCTTTTCATTGAAGTCCAACAATTATAGTGGTATTTAACCTACTTTTAATGCATAAGAGTTTGAGATTTTATATTTAAATTGAGGGGAATGGAAAGAGGAAAGGAGGGAAGGAGAATTATGGATGGTGATATAGGAATAATTTTTTTGTAATATTATTTTTTATATAATTTTTACAAATCATTAAATGAGTAAATGTACTTAATATCATAAATTTGAGATAAATAAAAAGAATTTATTATTTAAATAATACATAAAATCATACTAAAAAATAATATAAAAAAATTATATATAAATCATTTTTTCAGAGAATTATATCTTTTTCAGTCTCTTCCATTCCATTTCTTCCCCTTCCCTTCACTTATTTAGGTAAGTAATTAAATTAAAAAAAAATTTAAAAATTTCCTCTCCTTGCTCCTTCAATTTTTTAATAACTAAATAAAAAAATGTTTTTCCTTCCTTTTCCTCCCCTCTGTTTTCGTGAACTCAAACATTCCTTAAGTTGAAGACTCAAGTATTATCGTTCAGACTAAAAGGTAAGGAGTTCTCTTTTTTTTCTTTTTTCTTTTTTTAACAAATTATAATTATTTATAAGTATTAATTGACAGATGAGAAACAATTTTTTATAAAATTTAAATACATAACTCATAAAAAATAAATGATTTTAGCTCAGACTTCACATTCAAAGCGAACACGTAAGGGTGGGAATTTGGGAAATGAGAAAAAAAAAAAAAAAAATCTTACAATGCTTTTGAAATGCATGATGACCACTTTAGAATTTTATTATGTCATTTAATTTGGAAAGGTCAAATTATTTTATAATTTGGGTTTTGACACTGTTATCGGGGAATCTTTTCACAAATTTACATGATTACTTTGTTTTTCTTTTTTTATTCTCCTTTTTTATGAGACTACTTTGTTTGTGTTTATAAGAGATTTTATACAAATAAAAATATAATTTTTGAAAATTTTTTAAATTAAAAGTGTTATATTTTTATTTTATTAATTAAAATTATTATATTAAAAAAATTTAATTAAAAATATAATATTTGCTATTTTACATTTTGATTAAAGGTGTGATAGTAAACATACACTTACTTCTTCTTCTTCTTTTTTAAGTAAAATTATAAACATTATATTTTTAATTAAAACTTTTAAAAGACAATTAATATAATTAATAGAAAAAATCATATACTTAATTAAAATTTTTTTGAAAAGTTGTATCTTTATTTGTCGGAGATTCTTATGTTTCGAGGTATAAGTGAGGGCGAGGCAAACTTGACAATTGTTTTGTTCTCTTGAACTCTCCCATGCTGTTCATTAGTTGGGCCGCATTCTTCCACGCGGAGCAAGTGGAGGTTACCCACGTTTGAACCTCCTTACTTATTGAATAGATACTAACTTCTAACTATTGTTTTCATTGTAAAAAAAAATTGTTTTGTTCTCTTTATCTTCTTATCTTTTGGGTAAAACTAGTGTTAAGCTCCTAGACTTTTCTTATTTTCTCATATAGGCCTTCAAAGTAAAAAAGTGGTATATAAACTTCTAAACACTTGAATTTGAGCAAATTAATCCTCCTGTTAAGAGTGAAATCATTTGCAATCATTTAAGTTAAATAGTTGTTTGTTTTCATTCACTTACATGGCAATTCCTTTATTTAGTTGCTAATGTGGCATAAGACTCATTTATTTAACTCTTAATTTTCAAAAACTTAAGCTATATGATGTGACCATTTAAGTGTAAAAAAATCATCAAATTAGTAACTAAGTGTAAAATAATTGTCACACAAATGAAAAAAAAAAAATAATTGTTTAACTTATATGTTCACACATGATTTTGCCATCAACACAAAGGTTAATTTGCCCAAATCTAGGCGTTTAGGTACTTCATGTCACTTTTTTTTTCTTTGAGAGCTTTTGTGAGAGAATAAGAAAAGTTTAGGGGGCTTAACATTAGGTTTTGCCCATCTTTTTCTCATTTCATTTTTAAGAAAAGGAAGAGGGGAAAGAATTGCTTAAAATTATTCCCAAGAATGCGTCCCAATAGGGCATAATAAAGTTTAAGACACCTAAAACGGATCAGATTCAACCAACTTGCTCTCCTCCTTTGTTTCAGAAGCTTTGTCTACACTCTGTAGTCTGCACCAGACTCGGCCAATTAGTTTCTTCATTATAGAGCATAAAGCACAAGAGGACTTAAGTGAAACAATGGGGTACTAGACTAAAAAGGCCAGTTCATGTGGGCTAAGTTTGTTAATTTGGGCCCTAAATCGTCCTACCTAGCTGTCTAGCAGCGCCTTGCAAATTAATTTGTCCAGTCCCAACACCTAAGTCCAATGCCCAGCATGATTTCTAATCACACGAGCAAGAGCAACATTCTTTTTCAAGAGAATTATTGCTCTCTCTTTTTTTTCTTTCTTTCTTTCTTTCTTTTACAGAAATGATTTAACATTATTTCTTAATTTTAAGTTGCAAAGTAAGATATAACGTTTTCTAATATCTTCATTTATATTAATTGTATATCATGTCGATTAAAATGAAAATTTTTTTATTTCAAGTAAAAAAAATTATCAAAAGACTATATAGGTACCATTGGCAAAGAATTACTATTTCGTTTTGGTGTGTACGGATACAAAATGTCTTGAAGCTGAGGGTATTGTGAGTATTGTAGTCATTTTTAATCCAAACTTTTTTTTTCCTCAATGAAAAAAAGTAGTGTCCTCCTTTTTCTTTCATGGTACATAAATAATTGGCCCCCAATTAGTTATGGGGCTCGTGGCCTTAATCACTAAATCAATACGGTAGTGATATATCCACCTTTTCTTTAGCATCAGGTCCAAGGGAAATGTATGCAACTTCGCAACCTCTAAGAGAATGTCCCTTTCTAAATGCGATGAGAACCAGGGCATCGGTGTTCATTTCTGCATCTCTATGAAGAAGTCCCATTTTTCTCTATGTTTGTAAAATTCCAGCTCCATCAGATCCAACCCTGTTTGCATCAAATAGAATTCCAATAGCGATAATATCAGGCTTCACCTGATGGGTTGATAAGCTATAAAATAAGCTTCTCAAGTTGTTAAAATCTTTCATCTTCAAATAAGTCAGCAAGATAATATTTGCAATTGTCACCGGGGGAGGAGCTAGAATTTTTTTTCAGGGGGTGAAATGCTAGACTTTAAATTGTAAATAAAGATAGCAAAAAGTATATACCTTTAATTTTTAAGTTGTGCCTTTTGTCGTTTCACAAAGTAGAAATCATCTATAATTGAGTCAATAGTAAATCTTTCTGTAATCTCCTTTTCAATGTAAACAATCAAATAATCTTTGAGACAGTTATCTTCCATCATGTTGCAGAGTCTTGTTTTGACGATTTTCATAGCTGAAAAAGCTCGTTCAGTGGTTGCCGTCAACACAAGAAAAGTTAAAACAAGCCGAATCAATCTATCAATGAGAGGATAAACTTTTGATTTTCTAGTTTCCACCAACACTTGACATAATTTAGAAACAATTGATAAATTCTGAAATCTTGGATGAGCAGGTACATCAAGCTAATAGTATTGCAACTCATATTTTAGACAAATCTTTTCTTGATCTGAAAAATCTAAAGGATAATACTTCTCTACAAGTTTGTATATGTCATCAATACTGAATGATTTATAGTCATTGTGGGGATCCAAAGTTGAGCTCAAAGTGATAAGTTCTGTAGCTTGCTCATTGAACCTACAATTTAGTTCTTTCAATTGATAATCTAACACAGTTGTGAATATATCCACTTGATAGTGATGCTCAACTGTTACATCATTCTTTTTTCGACGAGAACGAATTATGTCACAAAAAGAAGCACTCATAGTAGGAATTTGGATGGAATGAGTCTCACAAAAAGAAGTGACATCATGTAAAGAGTATCCCAACCACTATTTCTTAGATCTTGAAGCAAAAATTTTGTGCTAGAAATCCTAAACCCATAGCATTTAAAATATCTTGATTTTTTTGTTGCAAAGCTTGGCAAAGTTTATCAGTAATTCCCATGCTTTCCTTCATCAAATGTAAAATGAAGACAAAGTCAAATGATAGCAATGACTTAAGAGCAAAAGTAGCATCACCTCTTTGAGAGTATGTGGATCCTTTAACAGCCACATTTTCAAGAACTGAGGCAATTGGAGTAAACATTCGTAAGAGGTTGCATATTGACTTA